TACTCGCCTGGGTGACATGAGCAAGATTCGTTATCTGCAAGAAAAAATAAAAAAACACAAATCAAAGAAAGAATAAAGAAAAAAAAAAGCCCCCTCTTAGTGCAGCTTTTGCTTTTGCTTGTATCCTGCAGGTTTGGGTTGTTGTAACTCCATTTCACTTATTTTAAGAAATTTTTTTTTCCTTCCTGATTTCTTCATCGACCCTCTCATCTTCAGGAGCTTATTGCTAATCTCCACGTTTTTGTATAGTTTTCACAGTTCCCTTGGTATTGATTTCTTTTTTATCCATTGTGGGGTCTGGAGGATGCTTGATATTATTTTGATTTTTAGAAATTTGGTTTGGTTGAGAGGCCAGGCATGGTGGCTCACGCCTGTAATCCACAGCACTTTGGGGAGGCTGAGGCAGACAGATCACCTGAGGTCAGGATGTTGAGATCGGCCTGGCCAACATTAGTGAAACCCCATCTCTATTAAAAATACAAAAATTAGGCCGGCGCGGTGGCTCAAGCCTGTAATCCCAGCACTTTGGGAGGCCCGAGACGGCGGGATCACGAAGGTCAGGAGATCAGAGACCATCCCTGGCTAACATAGATGAAACCCCGTCTCCTACTAAAAATACAAACTTAACCGGCAGGTGGCAGGCGCCTGTAGTCCCAGCTACTCGGAGGCTGAGGCAGGAGAAATGGCGTGAACCCGTGAGGCGTGAAAGCCTTGTTGCTGTAAGTAGACTGAGTTCGCCACTGCACCTGCCAGCCCTGGTCGCACAGCAAGCGAGCACTCCCGTCTCAAAAAATAAAAAAAAAAAAAACAAAAAAAAAAACAAAAGCAGGTGTAAAAACAAAAATTAGCCAGGTGTGGTGGCACGTACCTGTGGTCCCAGCTACTTGGGAGGCTGAGGCAGGAGAATCACTTGAACCCGGGAGATGGAGGTTGCAGTGAGCCAGATTCACCACTGCACTCCAGCCTGGGCGACAGTGCGAGACTCCATCTCAAAAAAAAGAAAAAGAAAATTGGTTGAGACTTGTTTTGTGCCCTAACATATGGTCTTATCCTGGAGAATCTTCCATGTACTGAGGAAAAGAATGTATATTCTGGCCAGGCGTGGTGGCTCATACCTCTAATCCAGCACTTTGGGAGGCCAGGGCAGGTGGATCACTTGAGGTCAGGAGTTCGAGACCAGCATGGCCAACATAGTGAAGCCCCATCTCTACAAAAAATACAAAAATTAACTGGGCGTGATGGTGTGCACCTGTAATTCCAGCTACTTGGGAGACTGAAGCATGAGAATTGCTTGAACCCAGGAGCTGGAGGTTACAGTAGGCCAAGATCATGTCACTGCACTCCAGCCTGGGTGACAAAGTGAGACTCTCTCTCAAAAAACTAAACTAAACTAAAATAATAATGTATATTATGCAGTTGCTAGAATGTTCTGTAAATTTCTGTTAGGTCCATTTGGTCTAAAGTCCAGTTTACATCCAATGTTTCTTTCTTTCTTTTCTGTCTAGATGATCTGTCTAATGCTGAGAGTGAGGTCTTAAAGTTCCTGTCTATTATTGTATTGCAGTCTATCTCTCTCTTTTTAGATCTAGTATTATTTGCTTTCTGGTGCTCCAGAGTTGGGAGCATATATATTTAGAATTGTTATTTCCTCTTCCTGGATTGATCCCTTAATCATTATATAATGACTTTCTTTCTCTCTCTCTTTTTTTTTTTTTTAAACTACTTTTGACTTAGTCTGTTTTGTTTTGTTTTGTTTTGTTTTGTTTTTTTGAGATGGAGTCTCGCCCTGTCGCCCAGGCTGGAGTGCAGTGGCCGGATCTCAGCTCACTGCAAGCTCCGCCTCCTGGGTTTACGCCATTCTCCTGCCTCAGCCTCCCGAGTAGCTGGGACTACAGGCGCCCGCTACCTCGCCCGGCTCGTTTTTTTTGTATTTTTTAGTAGAGACTGGGTTTCACCGTGTTAGCCAGGGTGGTCTCGATCTCCTGACCTGGTGATCCGCCCGTCTCGGCCTCCCAAAGTGCTGGGATTACAGGCTTGAGCCACCGCGCCCGGCCCTTGTTTTTTGTTTTTTGAGACAGGGTCTCACCCTGTCACCCAGGCTAAAGTGCTGTGGCACAGTCTCCATCTCTAGGTCTCAAACAGTCCTCCCACCTAAGCCTCCCAAATAGCTGGGACTACAGATGTGCACCACCATGACTGGGTAATTTTTGACTTTTTTGTAGAGACAAGGTCTTACTGTGTTGCCTAGGTTGGTCTTGAACTCCTGGGCTCAAGTGATTCTCTCACTTTGGCCTCCCGAAGTGCTGGGGTTAAAAGTGTGAGCCACTGTGTCTGGCCTAAAGTCTGTTTTGTCTCATATAAGTGTAGCTATTCCTGCTCACTTTTGGTTTTCATTTGCATGGAATATATTTTTCCATCCCATTACTTTCAGTCTGTATGTGTCTTTACTGACAAAGTGAGTTTCTTTTTTTTTTTTAATATATAGTCTTGCTCTGTCACTCAGGTTGGAGTGCAGTGGTGCGATCTTGGCTCACTGCAACCTCTACCTCATGGGTTCAAGTAATTCTCATGCCTCAGCCTCCTAAGTAGATGGGATTACAGGAGCATGCTACCATGCTGGGCTAATTTTTGTATTTTTAGTGGATACGGGGTTTTGCCAAGTTGGCCAGGCTAGTCTTGAACTCTTTACCTCAGGTGATCCACCCACCATGGCCTCCAAAGTGCTGGGATTACAAAGTGAGTTTTTCGTAAGCAGCGTATTGTTAAATCCTATATTATTACTATTATTATTTTAATCCATTTAGCTATTCTGTATTTTTTAAGTGGAGAATTTCACCTATTTATGTTTAAGGCTATTATTGATATATGAGGCTTTGTTCTTGTCATATTGTTAATTGTTTTCTGGCTATTTTATATATTCTTTGTTCCTTTCTTTCTCTCTTACTGTTTCTTGTGTGCTTTGGTGGCTATCTGTACGGATACCATTTGAGCTTTTTCTCTTCCTCCTTTGTGTGATTGCTTTACCAGTGAGTTTTATACTTTTGTATGTTTTCATGATGGTAAATGTCATCCTTTTACTTTCAGGTTTGGGACTCCCTTGAGCATTTCTTATGGGGCCAGTGTACCAATAAAGAATATCCTTAGGCCAGGTGCAGTGGCTCATGCCTGTAATCTCCAACACTTTCAGAGGCCAAGGTGGGAGGATCCCTTGAGCCCAGGAGTTTGAGACTAGCCTGGGCAACAAAGCCAAACCCCATCTCTACAAAACATTTAAAAGTTAACTGAACTTGTTGGTGTGTATCTGTGGTCTCAGCTACTTGAGAGGCTGAGGCAGAAGGATCACTTGAGCCTGGGAGGTTGAGGCTACAGTGAGCTATAATCATGCCACTGTACTCCAAACTGGGCAATAGAGTGAGACCCTGCCTCAAACAAACAACCAAAACCCTCAGCATTTGTTTGTCTGAGAAAGACTTTATTTCTCCTTCATTAATGAAAAATAATTTTTCTGGATATAGTATCCTTGGCTGACAGGCTTTTTTTTTTTTACTTTCAGCACTTTGAATATATCATCTCATTCTCTTCTGGCCTGTAAGGTTTCTGCTCTGAAACTTATTGTTAAGCAGCCAGGGCAACATACTGAGACCTATCTCTACTAAAAATTAAGAAATTAGCCAGGTGTGAAAAGCCAGAGTTCAGGAGTTTGAGACCAGCCTGAGCAACATAGTAAGACCTCATCTTTACTACTAATAATTTTTAAAAAATAGGCTGGCATGCCCAGGTGTAGTGACTCACTCCCGTAATCCCAGCACTTTGGTGGGATTACATGTAGTAACTAGAACTACATGCCTGTAGTTCTAGATACTTGGGAGGATCGCTTGAGACTGGCAGGCCAAGGCTGCAGTAAGCAGTGATCATGCCACTGCACTACAGCCTGGGCAATAGAGTGACACCCTGTCTCAAAACAAAACAAAACAAAACAAAAAAAAAAAAGGAAAGCAATCCACTGTTAGTCTGATGTAGTTTCCCTTATAGGTGACTAGATGCTTTTTTCTTGCCATTTTTAATATTTGCTCTTTGTCTTTTATTATAGACAGTCTGGACTATAATGTGCCATGGAGAATACATCTTTGCATTATATCTTCCTGGGGATCGTTGAGCCTCTTGTACCTGGATGTCTAAATTTCCTGCTAAACTTGGGAAGTTTTCATTTATTATTTAGTTAAATAGGTTTTCTAATTCTTTTACTCTGTCTTAGCCCTCAGGGACACCAATAATTAGAATATTCAGATGCTTTATGTTGTCTCAAATATCGTGAATACTTTGCTTATTCTTTTTTCTTTTCTTTTTTTTTTCCAAGATAGGGTCTTGTTCTTGCCTTGTCCAGGCTACAGCGCAGTGGCACAATTATACTTCACTGCAGCCTTGACATCCCAGGCTCAAGCAGTCCTCCCACTTCAGCCTCCTGAGTAGGTAGGACTACAGGTGTGTGCCATCATGCCAGCCTATTTTTGTTTTTGAGACGGAGTTTTGCTCTTGTTGCCCAGGCTGGAGTGCAATGGCACAATCTTGGCTCACCACAACCTCCGCCTCTCAGGTTCAAGCAATTCTCCTGCCTCAGCCTTCCGAGTAGCTGGGATTACATGCATGCGCCACTGTGCCCAGCAAATTTTGTATTTTTTTAAGAGACGGGGTTTCTCCATGTTGGTCAGGCTGGTCTCAAACTCCCAACCTCAGCTGATACGCCCACCTTGGCCTCCCAAAGTGCTGGGATTACAGGAGTGAGCCACCATGCCTGGCCATGCCAGCCTACTTTAAAAAAATTATTAGTAGTAAAGATGAGGTCTTACTATGTTGCTCAGGCTGGTCTCAAACTCCTGAACTCAAGTAATCTTTCTACTTTGGCCTTCCAAAGTGTTGGGTTTACTGACTTGAGCCACTGTGGCTGGCCTCATTCTTTTTTTCCTTATTCTTATCTTACTATTTCTTTTTTTTCTTTTTTCTTTTTTTTTTTTTTTTGAGGCGGAGTCTCGCTCTGTTGCCCAGGCTCCAGTGCAGTGGCGCATCTCAGCTCACTGCAAGCTCCGCCTCCTGGGTTCACGCCATTCTCCTGCCTCAGCCTCTTGAGTTGCTGGGACTACAGGCGCCCCCACCATGCCAGGCTATTTTATTTTTGTATTTTTAGTAGAGATGGGGTTTCACCATGTTAGCCAGGATGGTCTCAATTTCCTGACCTCATGATCCACCCGCCTCGGCCTCCCAAAGTGCTGGGATTACAGGCGTGAGCCACCACGCCTGGCCTAAATTGTTTCAAAAGACTTGTCCCGAAGTTCTGAAAATCTGTCTTCTGTTTGATCTAGTCTTTTTTTTTTTTTTGAGACGGAGTTTCGCTCTTGTTGCCCAGACTGGAATGCAATGGCACGATCTCAGCTCACTGCAATCTCCACCTCCCGGGTTCAAGTGATTCTCCTACCTAATCCTCCTGAGTAGCTGGGATTACAGGTACGCACCACCACGCCTAGCTAATGTTTGTATTTTTAGTACAGATGGAGTTTCACCATGTTGGACAGGATGGTCTCAATCTCTTGACCTCGTGATCCACCCGCCTCAGCCTCACGATTACAGGCGTGAGCCACCGCACCTGGCGATCTAGTCTATTGTTGAAGCTTTCTTTTCTTTCCCTTTTTTTTTTTTTTTTGAGGCACACAGTCTTATTCTGTCATCCAGGCTGCAGTGGCATGATCTGCATTAACTGCAACCTTCACCTCCTGGGTTCAAGTGATTCTTGTGCCTCAGCTTCCTGCATAGCTGGGATTACAGGTGCATGCCACCACGCCCAGCTAATTGTTTGCATCTTTAGTAGACACAGAGTTTTGCCATTTTTGACCAGGCTGGTCTCAAACTCCTGAGCTCTGGCAATCCACCTGTCTTGACCTCCCAAATTGCTAAGATTACAGGTATGAGCTATTGTTGAAGCTTTCAAGTGTATTTTTTTGTATTTCCTTAAATAAATGAATTCTTCAGTTCTAAGCTTTCTGTTTTTTTTTTTTTTTTTTTTTTTTTTGAGACTGAGTCTCCCTCTGTCGCCCAGGTTCGAGTGCAGTGGTGCGATCTCTGCTAACTGCAAGCGCCGCCTCCTGGGTTCATGCCATTCTCTTGCCTCAGCCTCCTGAGTAGCTGGGACTACAGATGCCTGCCACCACACCCGGCTAATTTTTTGTTTATTTAGTAGAGATGGGGTTTCACCATGTTAGCCAGTATGGTGTTGATCTCCTGACTTTGTGATCCACCCGCCTCAGCCTCCCAAAGTGCCAGGATTACAGGCGTGAGCCACCACGCCCGGCCTGTTTGGTTCTTTATAAAAATACTTCTGGTAAATTTCTCATTCATATCCTGAGTTGTTTTTCTGATTTCTCTGTATTCTTTTTCAGAATTCTCTTGTAACTCACTAAGGTTCTTTAAAATCAGTATTTTGTGAATTTCTTTTTTATTGGGATCTACTGATGGAGAATTATTGTTTTCCTTTAGTGGTGTCATATTTCCTTGCTTTTTCATGTTTCCTGTGTCCTTGCATTGACATCTGCATATCGAGTATAATTGTCACTTCTAATTTTTTGAAATTGCTTTGCAGGGGAAGACTTTTCCCTAAAGAAGTGTATATGTTTTTGGTTAGATAGGGTGTCGTTGGTTGGTCTTGATTTGGGGTGCATGCAATAGCATGTGGGCTATGTGATTTCTTTTTTTTTGAGATGGAATCTCAGTCTGTCACCCGGGCTGGAGTACAGTGGTGCGATCTTATCTCACTGTAACCTCTGCCTCCCAGGGATTCAAGCAATTCTGCTGTCTCAGCCTCCTGAGGAGCTGGGACTACAGGCGCATACCACCATGCCCAGCTAATTTTTGTATTTTTAGTAGAGACAAGGTTTCACCATATAGGTCAGACTGGTCTCAAACTCCTGACCGCAGGTGATCCACCCACCTTGGCCTCCCAAAGTGCTGGGATTACAGGTGTGAGCCACCGCACCCAGCCTGGCTGTGTTTCTTCAGCTATAAATGGCATCAGTGGTATCCATGCTTTTTTGGTGGCTCTAGGTGTGGTTATCAGTGGAGTCTGTGGTTAGATTTTGCTGGAACTAGGGTGCCAAGTAGGCCAGTGTTTGAGCCCCAGTGGCAGTAGTGGTGGGCCAAGCAGTGTGTTGGGCATATGTGCAAATTCTCAGGCCCCTTGGCAGCTGGTATGCTGTGGGCCATGGCGGTAGCAGTGGTGGAACAAACCCACTGGAGTCCAGGAGGTCCATGGTGGTGTTGGTAGTGGCTGTGACAGGTTGCCAGGCTAGTCCCCTGGCCCTCTGGTGATGCATGCAGTTGGGTGATAGCTGTAGTGGTATTGGCAGGTTGGGTTGACCCAACCTCTGGGTAACATACTTGAGTACTGGTGGAAGGAGACCAGGCTGATAGACATGTCCTCAGGCCCCCTTGGTAGTGCATTCAGGTGCTGGCTGCAATAGGAACGGGCAGCGTGGCTCAGATGTGGGCAGTGGTGACTACACTGTGGGCGTGCCACCATTGAAGGTGGAGCCCATCTCTGCTGGAGTGGCCAAGGCAGGTAACTGCGGGCAGTGTAATTTGCTCACGCCTTGGTCCCACAGTATTCTGCCGCAGCAGCAGTGGGAATTTTCCTTGGGGTGCATGGGACTGCCCAGCCTCCCCTCTCCCACCTTAGCCCAGTGATGGCAGCAGCAGCCCAGACCCCAGGGCAGGATGCAGACCTCTGGGAGCTTGATTCTCAGAATAGCACCAAGCTGCAGCTGCTTAGGACATGGATACCTATGGGACTTTGTGTGTGTTCCCTCTCTGGAGCAATGCTTCTGTGCCTTTTTTTTTTTTTTTTTTTTGAGACTGAGTTTTGCTCTTTTGCCCAGGCTGGAAGGCAGTGACATAATCTCAGCTCACTGCAACCTCTGCCTCCTGGGTTCAAGCAATTCGCCGTCTCAGCCTTCCGAGTAGCTGGGATTACAGGCATCCACCACCGTGCCTGGCTAATTTTTGTATTTTTAGTAGAGAGGGGGTTTTACCATGTTGGCCAGGCTGGTCTTGAACTCCTGGCCTCAGGTGATCCCCCCACCTCGACCTGCCAAACTGCTAGGATTACAGGTGTGAGCCACCGCGCCCGGCCTCTGTGCAGTCTTTAGGCAGCTCCCTATGTTAGTCTCAAGGCCCATGTGGGTTGTGGGGTTCTCCTATAGCTAAGACTATAAAAGGCTGTGGTGGGAATGTGGAGCCCTGGGGCTCTTTCTTACCCTTTTCCCATATCAAGGTGCTTTTCCTGACTCCCAGCTGATCCCAGCCAATCAGACTGTCTTGCTTCCATCTGCTTACTTGCTTTCCATGCTTCTCATCACTTCTCTGTTGAATCTCCGTATTCTCTCTTAGATGATCTAGTTGAAGTCTATTTATTTATTTTAGAGATGGGGTCTCACCCAGGCTGGCCTCAAATTCCTGGACTCAAGTGATTCTCCTACCTCAGCCTCCCAAGTAGCTAGGACTACAAGTATGCACCACCATGTCTAGCTTATTTTTTTATTTGTTTTGTTTAGCTAGGATTTATATAGTGCTTATTATAGTCCAGATGCTATGATAAAAAGTATACAAGTGTTAGCTCATGTAATACTGTGAAATAAGTATAGTTATCCCTGTTTTACCGATGAGAAAACAGGCACAGAAAGTGCCTTGCTTCAAGACACACAACTAGTACTGGTGGAGCTGAGATTCAACTCAGGCTTTATGGCTCTAGAGTCAGTGTTCTAAGCCACTTATGACTTGAAAAATAGAACCTATTTGTGCAAGACATAACCTTTATTCAGCCTGAACCCAATGGTAAATGCCTACATAGATTTGTGGACTTTTTGCAATAATGCTAATAGAGCTAAGGGGTACAAATTGGAGACTGGCAGACTAGAGGACTTTTAATCTCTGTTTGATTCTAAATTTTATAATCTCTATAGAATTTTTGTAAAGGAGGTGGGAGTTAAGGCTGTCTCAACTTCAGCTAATGTAACAAGGACAAACCAGCTGAACTTGGGCTCCTTTCTCAGAAATGAGCATAAGAGGCATTCACCCTTGTGCTATAGACAAAAGAAATGTAGCACAAGGGCTGTAACTAAGTCACATGTGTCTCCAGGGAAATACATGCAGGCCTTTGGAGTTGAAACTGGAGCGGCAGTAAAACCAAAAACATATGCTCACTCTTCACTATTCAGCCACCTCTGAACTTCTTCCTCCTCATCTTTTTTACTGTTACCAGTGAAATATATTTCTGAGGGATTTTTAAAAAGGATAGCTTACAGAGCATCCAGAAACCTACCCATCATTTGTAATTTCTTCCTTTAATTGAAAAACCTTTTTTTTCTTAGTGGTCTTATCCTACTGCTCTAGAAGAAAGCTCAAGATACCAGTTTGATGGACAATGAACTAAGCCCAGAAGAAATCTCTCTCCAAGCCTATCTTCTTGTTGCTGTCCTATCTGTATACTTGTTGGACACCTACTCTATGCCGGACACTATGCCAGGTATTGGAAATACAAAGATCAACAGGACTCAGTTCCTGCTTTTAAGGAACTCATGGATGAGTAAGGGAGACAGATATGTACATAAATCATTGCAGTGGGGGCTGGGTGTGGTGCCTCACACCGGTAACCCCAGCACTTTGGGAGGCTGAGGCAGGCGGATCACCTTAGGTCAAGAGTTTGAGACTAGCCTGGCCAACATGGTAAAACTCCATCTCTACTAAAAATACAAAAATTAGCCAAACACAGCTGGTGCATGCCTGTAATCCCAGCTACTCAGGAGGCTGAGACAGGAGAATCACTTGAACCAGGGAGGTAGAGGTTGCAGTGAGCTGAGGTCACGCCACTGCACTCCAGCCTGAGTGACAGAGTGAGACTCTGTCTCAAAAAAAAAAAAAAAATCATTGCAGTGGGGGGGATAGATTAATCCATATACCACATGCTCTAGGATATTTTTAGCCTGTAGTCTTTTGCACATGTGGGTCCCAAGGCCAGGAATGAGTTTCTTTGGTTTTACAGCAGGCTGATTCCTGTGGGATGGAGCATGGCATAGGAGCCCCTAACTTACTACAGGGACATCAGAGAAAGATTCCTGAAGGAGGAATGTTAACCCTGTCGAAATGCAGAATTCCAGGTCTGAAGTGGGGCATCACATATTGCATTTCTAATGCACCCAGGTGATACTGCTGCTGGCCCTCAGACCAAACTTTGAGTATCAAGGATGGCTGGGAAGTATGGGTGCTGTGGGGATAGGGATGAAGAACGGGAGAAAGAAAGATGATCCAAGCAGATGGGTCTGCTGTGAGCTGTGCTGGCTCAGCCATAGTGCTTTCAGGGACCTCAGCGGTACAGGCTACGAATGAAAAAGAGAAAGAATGGCATGGGAATGGCGGACACATAGGAGAATATCTGTGAAGGAATGGCAGACTCAGGCCTTCATGGCAAGTGAAGGAGGCCTGAAGTAATGGACATAGCACCAGAAGCTGAGATTTGTAAATATAGGGATGAAAAACTAATGTTTCTTGAACATCTGCATACCTCTATCCGTATCCTTATCTGTATCTACACCAATGTCTGTCTGTCTTTGGCATTTCATTTGTCCTTGCAACAGCCTAAGAAGTAGAAAATGGAGATTCAGAAAGATTAGGTTAGTTGCTGCAAGTCACACAACTAGGAAGAGGTGGATTCCAGCAAGAGCTAAGTGGGAGCTGGGCTCAATGGGACTATAATCCCAGCACTTTGGGAGGTTAAGAAGAGAGGATTTCCTTAGGCCAGGAGTTCAAGATCAGCCTTGGCAACAGAAGGAAACCTATCTCAAAAAAAAAAAAAAAAGTTGTTTTTAAATTAATCAAGCATGATGGTGTGTGCCTGTAGTCTCAGCTACTCCAGAGGCTAAGGTGGGAGAATTGCTTAAGCCTGGGAGTTCAAAGTTAGAGTAAGCAGTGCTCATGTTACTGCACTCCAGCCTGGGAGGCAGAGCGAGACCCCGTTTCTTAACAAAAAAAAAAAAAAAAAAACAAACGAACTAAGTAGGGTGTCAGGACTCAAATAAGTAGATGGAGATTCAGAGAAGAGCTTTTAGTCCAGTGGGCAATTCAAATATAAATGGAAAGTTGGAGCCCTCGTAGAGTTGCAGAGCCTGGGTCGGTAGATCAGGATTTTGGAAGGCTGGAATCTGAGGGTGGCTATGGCAACGGACTAGGGCTCCTGACAGATTCAGGGAGCAGCCCAATCCCAGACTCCCATACTCCAGCGAAACTCAGGCTGAAGATAGAGGGGCTGTCACTGTCAAGATGGCTAGAGGACTCCATGGTGAAACCCCGGAGAAGAATTCCATGACGGTAAATGGAAGGGCTATTGAAGACAGGAAGAGAGTGCAGAGCAATATTTTATTCACTGGGTAAACACAAGGATGGGAAAATCTAGAAATGAAGACAAAGCCTTATTTACATTTTAAGAGATTTTCTCTCCTGCCATAATATAATTATAACTTTCTTGAAACATACAGTTTTATTTATTTATTTAGAGACAGGGTCTCATTCTGTTGCTGAGGCTGGGGTGCAGTGGTGCAATCATGGCTCACTGCAGCCTTGACCTCCTGGGCTCAAGCAATGCTCCTGCCTAGGCCTCCTGAGTAGCTGGGACTACAGGCGCGTACCACCATGCCTGGCTAATTTTAAATTTTTTTGTAGAGATGGGGTATTGTTATGTTGCCCAGGCTGGTCTCCAACTCCTGGGCTCAAGGGATCCTCCCACCTCAGCCTCCTGAACTGAGACTGCAGGATGAGTCACTGTGCCCAGCCTCACAGATTCTTTCTTAAGCTACTCAATGCAAAGGCTTTCCCTACCTCCACCTATTTATTTAATGTTAAATAGAGACTACCTGTTTAATATCCAAGGACTGCTACTTCAACTAAGAAACATCTGAATAAGGCCGGGCGCGGTGGCTCAAGCCTGTAATCCCAGCACTTTGGGAGGCCGAGGCGGGTGGATCACGAGGTCAGGAGATCGAGACTATCCTGGCTAACATGGTGAAACCCCGTCTCTACTAAAAATACAAAAAACTAGCCGGGCGTGGTGGCGGGCGCCTGTAGTTCCAGCTACTTGGGAGGCTGAGGCGGGAGAATGGCATGAACCTGGGAGGTGGAGCTTGCAGTGAGCCGAGATCACGCCACTGCACTCCAGCCTGGGAGACACAGCGAGACTCCGTCTCAAAAAAAAAAAAAAAAAAAAAAAGAAACATCTGAATAAAATATGTTTGTTTTAGGAATGAAATCGGTTCACTTAATTTCTAATTAGCCATGTTATTCCAACCCACTACTTTATGACTCATTTATTTCCTTTATCAGAAAAACGGAAGACATATTTACAAGTTTATATTTTACAAATAGCTTTGTACAAACTAGGAATTGGGGGGTACTCCCTAAGTAAACATAAAAATAAATTGCCTTCTGTTAAAAATCAAAATGTCAGCTATGTATGGTGGCACATGTCTGTAGTCCCAGCTACTCAGAAGGCTGAGGCTGGAAGGTGGCTTCTAGGCTGAAGCGAGCTATGATTGTGCTACTGCACTCCAGCCTGGGTGACAGACTGTCTCTAAAAAGAAAAGGTGAAAATGACACGGTTTAGAGTATGATCCATGTACATGCATTTCCCTATGACAGAGAACAATAAAGAAAGCAGGATACTGGAAGAATCCCCTATGCGGATAAACAAATCACAGGTTTTATGATGGGAGCCTGGTGGCAGAAACAATAGGATAGTTACATTTATCTTATTTAGCAGGCGGATTGTTATTATTATTATTCATGCATTATTCTGAATACTTTTACAAACATGATGCCACTTAATCCTGTGAGGTAGGTTTTATTACTACTCTCATTATACAGAGAAGGCCTCTGAGGCACAGAGAGCTGAAGTCACTGCCCAAACCTTAAGAAACACATAGCTCAGTGGGGACACCAATGTTCAAATAGGTTAAAATATTTGTGTAAAACCAGAAAGAAGCAGGAAGGGATGATTCCCATCTCCAGAGTCTCAAGTCTTGCTTTTTTTTTTTTTTTTTTTTTTTTGAGACGGAGTCTCGCTCTGTCGCCCAGGCTGGAGTGCAGTGGCCGGATCTCAGCTCACTGCAAGCTCCGCCTCCCGGGTTCACGCCATTCTCCTGCCTCAGCCTCCCGAGTAGCTGGGACTACAGGCGCCCGCCACCTCGCCCGGCTAGTTTTTTGTATTTTTGAGTAGAGACGGGGTTTCACCAGGTTAGCCAGGAGGGTCTCGATCTCCTGACCTTGTGATCCGCCCGTCTCGGCCTCCCAAAGTGCTGGGATTACAGGCTTCAGCCACCGCGCCCGGCAAGTCTTGCTTTTTAAGTTAAAATGTAAGATTTTAGAAACAAGAGCATCATATCTTTGATATATTCTCCAGTCCTTTGTGCCTTCGCTATACTCCGCACATACCATTTGTGTACTTATACCACTGCCTTGTGAATAGTTGTATTCTTTTCTTCCCTACTAGACTGTGAGCTGCTTGAGGGCAGCGACTGTGTGTCTTTTTCTTTTCTGTATGGGCAGCAGCTAAGCACAGTACCTGGAATATACTAGGTGCTCCATATGCTTATTGAAGTTTGGGTGGTTTTTGTTTGTTTGTTTGTTTTTGTTTTTGTTTTGTTTTGAGACAGCGTCTCACTCTATCATCCAGGATGGAATACAGTGGGGCGATCACAGCTCACTGTAGCCTCAACCTCCTGGGCTCATGTAATCTTCTCACCTCAGCCCCCTAAGTAGCTGGGACTACAAGAACATGCCAATATGCTAGGTTAATTTTTTTGTAATTTTTGTAGAGACAGGGTTTTGCCATGTTGCCCAGGCTGGTCTTGAACTCCTGGACTCAAGCAATCCACCTGTCTTGGCCTCCCAAAGAGCTGGGATTACAGGCGTGAGCCACTGAGCCCAGCCGTTTATTGAATAATTGGATGGATTCAACTCTTGATTCTTTCCTGACTTCTGATGCCAGCGAAGCCTGGCCTCGAGGAATAGGATGGTACCTGGGTTACCCGATGGCTCTGTGCCATGAATGTTTCATAACTGCAGAACAATTGCTTGTTCTGAGCTTGGCACTATGCCAGGGAGATGTCTGACCGAGTGGTCTTTTGCAAAGTAGCCTTGATCTTCTATTTTTCCAGTTGTTTTAGTTCTTGTAGATTTTGTTTTCTTCATATACGCACCAGGGAGTTTCATACATTCTTCTTTCTCTCTGCTTGTCAGACTGTCCACAGTGTCCTTCAGTGCTTAAGCTGTACATGTCATCTAAGAACTTAAGATAATAGTAACTTTTTATTTAGGTAAATTAACAATTTGTTCAGCACTTCTTATGTGTTAGGTACCTTACATTCATTATCTCTTTTAATCCTCAAAATATCCCTGTGAGATATTTTGTATAGTACTCCCCCACCCCCGCCCCGACAGCCCTTTTTCTTTTTTAGAAGGAGTCTTGCTCTGTTGCCCAGGCTGGAGTGCAGCGATGCAATCTGAGCCCACTGCAACCTCCAATTCCCGGGTTCAAACGACTCTCCTGCCTCAGCCTTCTGAGTAGCTGGGACTACAGGTACATGCCACCACTCTGGGCTAATTTTTTTGTATTTTTAGTAGAGATGGGGTTTCACAGTGTTAGCCAGGACGGTCTCAATCTCCTGACCTTGTGATCTGCCCGCCTGGGCCTCCCAAAGTGCTGGGATTACAGGCATGAGCCACCGTATCCGGCCCAGTACCCCATTTTATAGATGCTGAAAATGGAGGCTCAGAGAGGCTAAATGATTGATCCAAGGTTATGCAGCCATTGAACACAAAGCCAAAATTCTCACCCAGGTATATATGTGGCTGTGTTAGGCCACTTTTGGGTTGCTATAAAGAAATACCTGAGGTTGACTAATTTATAAAGAAAAGCAGTTTATGAGGACTGAATCAGAAGGAAACAACAAAAAAAAGAAAATAAAGAAAAGAAAAGAGGCTTAATTGGCTCAGGGTCTGCAGACTATGCAAGCATGGATCCAGCATCTACTCCTGATGAAGGGCTCAGAATGCTTCCAATTGTGGTGAAAGGTGAAGGGGGAGCAGGTATGTCACATGGCGAGAGGAGAAGCAAGAAGGTGATGGTGGGGGAAGGTCCCAGACTTTAAACAACCAGATCTCATGTGAACTAACTGACCAAGAACTCACTTATCACCCAGGAGATGGGGCTAAGGAATCTGCCCCTATGATCCAGTCACCTCCCACCAGGCCCTACCTCCAACACTGAGAATCATATTTCAACATGAGATTTGGAGGGGACAAACATCCAAACCATATAATTCTGCCCTTGGCCCCTGAATCTCATGTCCTTCTCACATTTCAAAATATAATCATGCCTTTGCAATAGTCCCCCAGAGTCTTAACTCATTCCTACACTAACTCAAAAGTCCCAAGTCCCATGTCTCATTTGGAAATGAGTTCCTTCCACCAATGAGCCTATAAGATAAAAAATAATTTACTTCCAAGATACAATGGTGGTTTAGGTGTTAGGTAACATTCTTGTTCCAAAAAAGAGAAACTGGCCAAAAGAAAGGAGAAATAGACCCCATGCAAATCTGAAATCCAGCAGGGCAGGCATTAAATCTTAAAGCTCCAACCCAAGCCTTGACTCTATGTCCCACATCCTGGGCGCACTGGTGTGAAAGGTGGGCTCCCAAGGCTCTGGGCAGCCCCATGTCCGTGACTTACCTGTCTGCTCTCACGGTTTGGAGTTGAGTGCTTGTGGCTTTTCCAGGCTCAGGATGCAAGCTGTCAGTGGTTCTACCATTTAGGGGTCTAGAGGGCAGTGGCCCCCTTCCCATAGCTCCACTAAGCAGTGCCCCAGTGAGAACTGTGTGAGGGCTCCAACTCCACATTTCCCCTTGGTATTACTCTAGTACAGTATTTCTGTGGGGACTCCACCACTGCAGCAGACTTCTGCCTGGGCACCCAGATTTTCCATACATCTTCTGACATCTAGGTAGAGGCTACCAAGCCTCCTTCATTCTTGCATTCTGTGCACCTGCAAACTTAACACCACATGGAAGCCACCAAGTCTTATGGCTTGTGCCCTCCAGAGTCATGGCTCAAGCTGTACCTGGGGCCCATTGAGCCTTGGCTGTAGCTGGAGCAGCCAGGATGTAGGGAGCAGTGTCCTGAGGCTGAGCAGGGCTACACAACCATTTAACCATTAACCAGTCTCTAAGAAGTTCCAAACTTTCCCTCATCTTCCTGTCTTCTTCTGAACTCTCCAAACTCTTCCAACCTCTGCCCCTTACCCCAGTTCCAAAGCTGCTTCCACATCTTTGGTTATCTTTAAAGCAATGCCCCACTTCTCAGTCCCAGTTTTCTGTGTTGGTTCATCCTTTCAGTGGTCTAAAGTCATACCTGAGGCTGGGTAATTTATAAAGAAAAGAGATGTAATTGACTTATGGTTCTGCAGGCTGTCCAAGCATGGCTCCAGCATCTGCTCCTGGTGAGGACCTCAGGAAGCTTCCAATCATGGCAGAAGGTGAAGGAAGAGCAGGTGTGTCACATGGTGAGAGCAGGAACAAGGGGGTGGGGGAGGTCTCAGACTCTTAAACAACCAGATATCATGTGAATTAACTGAGTGAGAACTCACTCATTACCAAGGGGGTGGTGTTAAATCATTCATGAGGGATCTGTCCCCAAGATCCAATCACCTCCTACCGGGCCCCACCTCAGGGGACAAACATCCAAACCATATCAATGGCCAAAGAGTATGCTCTTTCCACTAGAGCACACTCGCTATAAAGTATGGCCCAAAGTTAAATTAACAACAACAACAACCATAAAATAGGAAGGGAAAGTCCTGCCTGGCTATGTGCTGGTAGTTTTTACAAAGTCTTAGCAATTTGAGTGATAATAAGCTGGGTAAGTTGTCAGTGTTGGCCAGGGTGAGGGTGGGCTGCCAATTAGGCAAGCAGTGAGCTAGACTACCTTCATCAACCCAGAAAACATCCAGAATGAGGAGGGGAGAGTCCTGCTCTATTCTGTACTGAAGCTTCCACATCTAGAAGAGTTATTCATTCATTCAGCAAATATATTGAGTGCCTACTTTATGCCAGGGCAACTGCTAAGAACTAGATAAAGAAGACAGATACATTCTCTGCCATTGTGGAGTTTACATTTGTGTAATTGTTGTTTTCAGTCCTGGATGTGACAATTAAGTTTGGATGTTACTGGACAAACTAAAGACTGTATTGAGAAGTAAGACCAGGATGGTGAAAACAGAGGAAGGAACAGTTGAAAGAACTAAGAACAGACAACAGTGGTGACCGAGGGATGAGATATCTTTGGCACTTAAAGGTCTAAACACGACAAATGGTTATGCTGGCTGTTTTCTGCACAGCCAGCGTCAAAAAAGAATTTCCTCATAAGTAACGAAAAGATTGCCTCTAAAAATAGTAAGCTCCCCATTACTGGAAGTGTCCAAACAGAGACTGGTAACTTTTCAGTGACGTCATAAAGAAAGGCAGTGCACCTGAGGCAAAAATCATGGAATCTGTGGATTAATTGACTCGACACTATAAATATTATCTGTGTGACTTTGGTACACAATGGCAAAGCCCATAGTCAGCCTTCAGAAAATAGGGTCAAGTATTATTAGTATATAGGTAGAGGTGGGAGCAGATGGCCATTAAGTCTCTTCCAAGTACATGATTCGGTAGTCCTGTACTTAACCTCTTCACTCCCAAGTGAAATTTTTACAAAAATGCTTTCTGAATATCCATGACTACTATCTAAGTACCCTGGTTGGGGGAGGGCAGAAGAAGGGGTAAAGAAGAGAAGATTCCTCTTGTGGGCTCTCAAGCCTTCCCAAAAGTTGCTGATGTCATTGTTTTTGTAAGGTAAAAGAGAGAAATGTCTGGTTCTTCTGGAAAATGTGATTTTCCTTGCCGAACCAGTAGTTGTTCACATTTGTTTTGCCCTGACTTCCTTTTGCAGTTAATCTAATAATGGCCATGCATGGCACTTCTCTAGGGTGTTTGTATTTTAGGGAGAAACACATCCAAATATGAAGGCAAAAAAGAAGGAAAAAGACAAAAAAAAAGGGGCCACATGTGGTGACTAACACCTGTAATTTCAGCACTTCGGTAGATTAAGACAAAAGGATTGCTTGAGCCCAGGAGTTCAAGACCAGCCAGGGCAACAAAGTGAGACCTTGTCTCTACAAAAAGTTTTAAACATTTGCCAAGTGAGGCCAGGTGGAGTGGCTCACGCCTGTAATCTCAACACTTTAGGAGGCCGAAGTGGGTGGATCACGAGGTCAGGAGTTCGAGACCAGCCTGACCAAACCAACATGTGAAACCCCGTCTCTACTAAAAATACAAAAATTAGCTGGGCATGGTGGCGGGTGCCTGTAATCCGCTACTCAGGAGGCTGAGGCGGGAGAATCACTTGAACCCGGGAGGCGGGAGGTTGCAGTGAGCCAAGATCGTGCCACTGCATCCAGACTGGGTGACAGAGCGAGACTCCATCTCAAAAAGAAAAAAAAAAATTCGCCAAATGTTGGTGGCACACACCTGTAGTCCCAGCTACACAAGAGGCTGAGGTGGGAAGATTGCTTGAGCCCAGCAAGTGAAGGTTGCAGTGAGCTGAGATCACACCACTATACTCCAGCCTGGGCAACAACGCGAGGACTCTGTCTCAAAAAAAAAGAAAAGAAAGAGATTTCTAATGGTGAAAATTAAGGCACACCCAGTAAAACACACTTCTGTTATGAACAGCAAAGGCCCCTAGATCATCCTGAATAAATAGCCCTAGCAGTGGGAAATGTGATCTGATTTTTCCTCTTCCTCTGCCAGGAAAAATTCCACTCCCACCATGCGCAGCAACTTTGGCTAAGAGCCAAGAGGCAATCAGGCTGCCTTTTTCTACTTTTCTCCTTCCTGAGAACACAGAGGTCCAAAGGGCCATTCCAGAGCGTGGGCTTCCATGGCCTCCACTGCATCACTCAGCAGGCTAGTCAGTTCAGAAAGATTTCTGCAGCCCAGCCAGAGAGTTTTCGCTCCTTTCCCACCCCCCACC